ATACGTGAAGCAAAAAATTGAGATTTATGTATATGCGATAAATATACGTAAATTTTTACTAAAAATACAGTCAAAAGTCGTTAATTCGGACACCCATAATCCGGAATGATCTATAATCCAGACCTCAAAGCTACAAACTTTCTGCGCATGCGTCAAGACGCATGCGCGTAAGACCTTTACGGCTGCGAATATGTGTGCGCAAAATACGTTTACAAATGCGCGTTTAATGTATAATGGACGGTATAAGTTAAGCTAAAATTATCTAATTCAGTTAATGTTGCAGATTGCGTTGTTCCTTAATCTTCGAACTGGATTCGGCTTATTATTTTTTGCAGACTGTTAGAGCAATTTTATAAAAGTAAGCTTGAACTTTCGATTATGTCAAATAAGTCCATCAAACAAAAAGTGGAATTGCTGCAAAAAATGGATAAAGGCATATCCTTTGTTTATCTAAACTTTAACGTTTGTTTATCTAAACTTTGTTTATCTTTAACGCCGCGACGCGCAATGAATTAGAAGTTGATCTGTCAGCACTATCCTTACCTTCAGAGCAGATTTTTTATTTTATTTGGCTTATAATTCCTTACTAAATGTAGTATTTCATCTCGAAGTACTCCGTCTTTGATATGATTTAAATCAAATTCCTCGTCATTATAATTCGCTTCCGATAGCGAAGAAAGTGAAACAGAGGTTATTGAAAACGAAAACATTTCGATTGACAAATTAGTCGGTATTCTCGACACAGCAATTATAGGACTTGAACAGCGGAACTTTGTAACTGAACAAGAAATTATGTCTGTTTATAGAATTAAAGAGAATGTATTATCACATAAAAAAAATGAAGCAACTTAAACAACTTACATTGAAAGAAATTTTTAATAAAGTAAACAAATAAATATTAAGCTCTTTTTTTTTTTTTTTTTTTTTTTTTTTTTTTTTTGTAAATTTTTGATACCCTTTAGATCATAATTGTTCTTTATTTTATAAATTACGGTTTCATATTTTTAATTTTATAATTTCTGCATGCCGTCTTACCAGATTTAAACTGATAATCTATAATCCAGAATCGCCGAAGTCCCGACGAGTCCGGATTAACAACTTTGGACTGTATACGTAAATCCCTGAAATTTACGTATATTATATGTAAAAGTTGCGAATGAACAGCAGTCTCTGCGTAAATATACCTAAATTTTACGTAAATATTTAGTAATTGCCACTGGAACTTTTTATGATATTTTTACGTTGAACTTGAACGTTTTTTATACGAAAGGCCATTCGTAAATTGCACGTATTTTTTTCGTGCAATTTACGAATGCATGCTGCCTGGGTAAATGCCAATGAACTGACATAAGAGTGATACTGCTTATCATCCACAAAATATCCAGAAAAGCACAACTGATAGCTATTGTACGTTTCGTTGACGAGAACCTTTATTAAAGAACATTATTTACTTTGTAAGGAGGTTTCAGAACGAAATACAAGTGAAGAAATTTTCCAAGAAACCGATGATTTCTTCAAGATATGTACAGAGGTTCCAGAACAAATTACCAGTGAAGAAATTTTCCAAGAAACCGCTGATTTCTTCAAGATATATCATATTCACTTAAGCAATTGTGTTGCTATTTGCATGGATGGCACTGCGGCAATGACAGGCAGTAGAAAAGGTTTTATCTCTTATGTGAGACAAAAAAGTCCAATAAGACAAATTACACACTGCTGCATACATCAAGAAGCATTGATGGTCAAGAATTTGGCAGCAGAATTTTTGAACACAATGAATGAATGCATTAAAATCGTAAGCATACTTAAATCGCGAGTCCTAAATTCGTGAATCTTTGGAATATTCTGTGCAGAAATGAAAGCTGAATATGAATAATAATTGTTTTATACTGAAGTTCGTTGACTATCCTGAGGCAAAGTTTTGGCTAGATTGTTTGAGCTTCACTAGGATGATGATTACGGGATAGCCAAACTTGCATATATGGCTAATATATTCGAGTATTTGAATGAATAAAAAAAATGCAAGCGCAGAATGAAAATATACTGACATGCTCTGATAAATTACAGGGGTTAAAAAAAACTTTAGCAGGAAGAGTTGCAAAAAGAATTCTTAGAAATGTACCAAAGGACCAACCACAACACAATTGAAAACAAGCAATTAATTGTGGATTTGGCACAACAACATTAAGTATGCTTCAGCAGAAATTTGATTATGATTTTTTTATTCTATTAATATGGAACAATATGATTGGATTCGAAATCTTTTTGCAAGCAATGCAATAAATTCTATGAAAGTGCTGCCACTGCAAATTCAAGAGGAATTTACAGAATTAAGTAATGACGGGACATTAAAACTTCATTTCTCAGAAGTTCCATTAGATGTTTTCTGGATTTCCGTTTAGAAAGAATATCCTTGCATTTCCAACAAAGCCATCCTAACACTACTTCCATTTTTCGGCAGCATATTCACGTGAGCAAAGTTTTCAACTCTTGTGTCAATTAAAAATGATAAGCAGTCATGCTTAAAAGACCTTGACCAAGAACTACGAGTTGCACTCTCAAATACTGAGCTGAATATAAAACTTTTGTGTTCATTGACACAACAGCAGGTATCACATTAATCAGTTACAATAATTATTAAAATTGCATAAAAGTAAGTGTGGTATGGTTTTAATGTATGTATACTTGTAATAAATGTATGCTTATAGTAAAAAATGAAAATTTACTGTAAAATTTGTGTACCTATATATCAGTGGCATAGCTGCAAATCATGTTGCCCATCGCGGTAAAAAACTTGACGCCCCAAACCTGAAAGAATTTTTTGTGCCTTTTCAAGGAAACAAAAAAAAAGGGGGGGGAACTACTGTGACCTATCCCTCACTGACACTTTTCTCAAAGGCACTTGCTCTTATTCATATGCATTTTTTAATTTCTCCCTACACAGCATCAAAAGAATGCTTTTTTACATTAGGATGTTTCAAAACCTGTATTTTTTTAAATAAATGTGCTTCATTCTAATGTCCGAACAGTATGGCAACAATATTTTATCCTACTTAGCCTCCACCCCTGGCTTAATGTAATGACACATTGCAATTTGAGATCCGTCCTTAGTAATTGTCCATTAACGTACTTGTAAAATCTTTTATTCCCCCCAAACTGAAATAGTTTCAAGTTGTCCTGTTCATCTGGCTTGCTTACTTACAGAGAACTTGCAGCATGCAACAATATTTTCTATCTTACAACCAGTGACCAGACAATGTATTACATGGATTACAGCAATACAGATTTTGGATGGTATAGTAACACGTATCACATATATCCATCTAAAGCTGTTAAACACAGTGTGCAGATCAAGAGCATATTTAAGAAATGGACGCCCCCATCATATGAGCCTTTTAAAGTCTCATCTTATGACTCCAATTATGTTTATTAGTCTCTGTAATTAATTAATCATTTAGGGTCCCTTGGAACATGGCATTTTCACGAGCATGCCCTGCAAAATCTCATCTATCCACTTCCATCATAGGAGATGCTAGATGAGCCATTCCACGCAAAATTACACTAGTGGGTAAAATTAAAGGAATAACTATAAAAACTCATTTTCACTTTCTATACAGATAAGCATTATTTTTTATTTTTTTATTTTTTTTTTTTTTATTTTTTATTTTTTTTTTTTTTTTTTTTTTTTTTTTTTTGTCTTTTGTCAAATATCTATAGTGGATGAGCATCATCAGCATTTTTTTTAGGGGGTTGAGGAGGATGTAAATGATTCCACTACTTCTACTTTGCTACCTTTTTTTTAACTGCCTATTTACAGCAGTTCAGGCAAGTTTTTATCATTATGTATTTTTAGAGAAGTAGCATCTATTGCATTCCCCTCCCTTTAAGAAATTTTAAAACATTCCAGTCGAAAGATCATTATAAATAATACTGGCATTTGATGCTATTAGTATTTTAATATTACTTTTATACCTTGTACAAATTGAACGAATATTGCTCAGATGGAGGACTAGAATGGATCTGAGCCTGATTACCTCTATTTTATGCAATTATTAACCACTTACTCGTTGCAAAATTTTGACAAAATTTATTCAAAAATCATCAATTTTTTTACTAATGTTTTTTAATGTTTATGAAATTTAAAATAAATTCATATAATAAACTACCTTTTTCGTTAATTTAACAGTTTTTTTTTTTTTTTTTTTTTTTTTTTTTTTTAATACGTAAACTTTTTATTAATGTACCATGTTTTACTATATATTTGGCTTTCCTCTTACACCTATGCTAGGCAGAAAAGCTTCAATACAGGGATTTAAGATTACATGTAAATTTTGAAGAGAGAAAAGTCACGTAAGGTTAACACGCACTATTATCTGCAAATGGTGATGCTTTTACTCAACATCAATTATAGGTGCATTATTTTTCAAAAATTTAATTTTCTGGGTATTTGTCACTTTCCAATAAAACAGTTACCAAAAAGTTATTTCTTCACATTTTTGAACATTTTTTCTTTTCTAAGAACTTTACAAACTTCAGAATTAAATAATTCTTATGCTTCTTATTCCCACTCAGAAATGTGAGCTTCTTTGAAATGTGAGGTGTATCCACTTCCGTTTTCATAGCTCTTTCAGTTGTTGTTCTCATAATAGAGTGTGTTGTAATGGCTTCCCAGTTAAAAAGGCCCTATTTGGCAAAACGAAACAATATTTATTAAAGTAACATTAAAGCCTATAATTTAACTAGGAGCAGAACATTTCTTCTACAACACACAAAAAGCGAGCACATCGCTCCTTTGCGGCATATATTCAACTAACTTAAATTTAATAACCTCCCAAAAGAGACCAAATGCCACAAACATACCTTATTGATCACCAAAGAGTTGCCAGATACTACAACTCCTTCAAAAAATTATTACTCAATTTTTCATTAAAATTCAAATTGCAAAGAACCAGCTTACATATATTTTATTACTTATGTTAGAATATGAAAAATATACTTACTTTCTTTTGGTGTGCATTTATTGAGGCATACTTCACAGTTCCTACGAAAGCGGATGCAGTTCCTGGTTCATTGCTCCTTCTGGCCTCTGTTCGATAATATTTTGAGAAACCAAAATCAAACATATATACTTTACGCTTATTATGTCGAAAGGCACCCAAGGCAAAATTTGACTAAATCATAAGAGAAAGGTAAAAATTATTGAAGTGTTACAATCTTTAAAAACAATAAAAAGATTCATCACTACCATGTACTATAAAAGGTAAACTTAGTGTTTTCAAAAGTTTAAAAACATGACTTTTTCCAAAATGTAAGAAATATGTTGCACTGCAAGTGATGGCTGAATTAACAACTTAAACTTTTTCAGAAAAAGAAAGGTAACTCATTTTTTTTTTTTAAATAAGTCTCTTATAATTAAATTGCAAATCTATCAAAATTAATGGTTTAATTACAAATCTGCACATGTCTACTTAAGTATCTCTATATGATGTATAAAGTGTACAACATAAATATGGTTAGCTATGAATACCTAAATTACAGTTAAAACAATGATGGAAGCTGCTAAATATAAAGATGTTCGAGAGATGACTATGAGTTGCATTTCCTTAAAAACTGATCTTAGGTACAACCTTCCAATTACAATAATAAGATTCCAAAAACAAGGTATCAATTTTTTTTTAAAATGGTCACAACACTACTTGGATAGGATCCACACATAGAAAATCCAACTTTCCACACATTCAATGCAGAAAAAATACTGATTAGTAAAATATACTGAAACGCCAAAACATTATGAACCCCTACTCAATAATGTGTTGCTCGACCTTTGGCCTGCAAAACAGCTGCAATTTGCCTTGGCATGGATGCCACAAGTTCTTGGTAGATGACTGGACCAAATGTCTAAGCAGCGGTTATGCAAAGTCAAGATATTTCGACATGGTAGTGCTTGAGCTCTGACTGTCCCTCCATGACATCCTAAATGTGTTCTATTGAGTTAAGATCTGGCTAGTTAGGTGGCCAGGACATTAACCCTCCGAGTGTTTTGAAAGAGATAAGGTATTGTTTTGTAAAGTGTCAGCAGCTTTGTCATCAAAGCTTTTCAAAAGCGTGGAAGCTTTCTGTCACTGTATCCACCGAAAGCGTTAAGCAGTTTTCTTTACCCCCCTACACCTGCGGAGAATCATCCAGATGAACTCGTTAGTGTCGGCTCTAAAAGTATCAATCACTGTCAGAACTTTGCCCTTCGGGAGTTTTCAAGAAGTAGAATGCTTTGAAAGCGATCTGACCTTGTAACAGTAACTGTTCGCTTTATGCTATGGATTTTGTTATCAAATGAAAATTTTGAGGAAACTTGAAAATCAAGACTTTAAAAGAAAAAAATATAAATGTTTTAATTTTTTTTCCGTTCATAAACCTCCATTTTTATGTATGTATACATGTGTGTGTGCGTGAAATTTTATGGAAATCAATGTGCATACGGCAGTAATATCGAAATATTTTTGTGTTTCTAATACCCTTCACTTTAGTTATTGAATTTATTTCTCATATACGATTGCTTGCTAGGATAAAAGGAATACTTTCTCACTAAAACAATATGATTTTCGATAGTTCCCAAGATAGTTTACTTTTTTAAATAAAGTAAAATATCTTGTTAACTTGGAAAATTTCTTATTTTATTTGCAACTTTGGGTATTTTTGATGCAGAGTTTATTTGAAGCTACGGATATAAATAATATTTCACAATTTACTTGATATAATAACAGAACTAATTAACTAAACATGAAATAAAAGGCTTGTTTATTTGCTAATCCATAATTACAGACGTCTAAGTTTTTGTCAAGCAATTTTCTGCTTTTGTGTATAGCCATGAGTAAGGAAAGCCGCGAGTTTATTAATTGTGCCATAATGATATTGTTTTCTTTAAAGTCTAAGAAAATATCAGTATATTTTACTATTCCGCTACATATTTTCTTTTTTTTCGCGGGGGGGGCTAAGAGCAAATAAACAGGTGCTCTTAGAAATTGTCGCTTTGAAAAATTATAAATGCATTAATGAAAAAAGGCATCGGATTTTGACAGATTGATTCTTATGGTTTTATTAATCTCTATAACTTTTAATTCTTTCTCTTTCTCTATATATAGAAAGCATTAAACAGAGACATTAGTCTAATGCTCATAATGCTTACTTATTTTTTAAAATTTTATTTAATTTGACTATGGCAAAGCACTCGAAGGTTACCTGCCTAAGGGTAGGGATGTCTTCGTGGAGGAATTTCTGAGGGATACTGTCTCATATACATGTTGCAAGTGGGAAAAAAAAAAAAAAAAAGAAAACGCCTACGCAGTGAGCTCTTTCCCCGAAACTCGAATTCTCAGCCGAATTATCAGTCTCAGAGACTTTATTGTTCGTTCGCTGATGGGCCAACGCTCTTGATGCGCTTCATTGAAATTATCGGTATTACTTTCAGTGTAGTTACCTAATTCAGAAACATAAACTTTTATAAATATTATATTTATAATTTGGTTTTTGATATAATGAACTAAGATTTCCAGAATTCTATACATTCTTAAATTTCATTTTTCAGTATAATAATATGCAGTTACTTTTAAAGAGTATAAATGGTGAAAGTTTTGAAATATGAAAAGAAAACAATTATGTTTGTGCTCAAAAAATGCAAATGATAACGAATTTTAAAATAAAATTGTGTAGACATGATCATAATTAGATTCATCTTCTTTCAGTTAGGTTTTCTCAAGAATATTTATGTGTTCAAGAATATACATCCTCAGAGTGCGAATATTAGAAATTATATAAAACATGCATTGAAGTAGAAGTAATCTTTGTAACAGAAATTCAACTAATTTCAACGAATACGAGGGATAATATCATCACAATCTATCTGAATATTTAAGAAAGTCTTGGCAACAGGTTTGCTTCCTATAGGCTCATATTTATTTATTATTATGTACATATGTGATGCTATTTTTTTATACAGAGTATGTTTTTCCCATATAGGGTTTGCAACAAAAAAATTAAAGATTTTAATTTCCGTAAAGCAAAATACAAAACAGACATTCTAAGGCAAAACTGAAGTGTAAAACCTTTTTATTCACCAAAATGCACAATATATTTTTACTTCAACTAAAAGAAGCAAAATTAAGTTTTGTTCACATGGCTGGCTGGCTCAGTTAGAAATAAATATATAATATTTTTTACCTTCTTTCCTCTAAAAAACTAAAATTCAACATGATACTTTTTTTTTTACAAAACAAAATGCGTAATTTATTCATTTTCAATAAAAATAGTTTATTCTATTTGGATATTGCAGAACATAGGAGAGCTACTTATTGCAAACATACCAGGGCTGCCATAGTGAAGGGCTTTCTAAGGCAAACTGACTTTTCACAAAACACCTCTAATGCAGTCATCCCATTCACCTATGTTCGAACCTAAATCAAACTATCGGCAAGTGTTTTATCATTCCGCTATTAGCAAGGTTCAACTAGACAAAACCAATTCAAAAATTTTATTCGCATACAGTACTAAACTCGACACCCGCAATAAGAGAATTCTAGTCTTACTATATTTCTTGTGTTCTGTAGTTAGCTAATTTTAATGCAATTAGCAGGTAATATCGATATTGGAAAAATTTTAATGTAAACTGCACGTTAGAATTTTCTTTCGCGTTGTTCTAAATTTTACATGTGAGCCAAGTTATATGAACAGATAGTCATATATGTCCAGGGCGTACTGACTCTCCTGGATAGCTGAAAAGAAGTCTTTTTCATCAAAGGTGCCATATATAATATGTAGAATGACAATGCACATTGCCTTTCATTCTTATCGTCTCTCCCCCAATTTTCAACGCATGCCCTATTCTTTCTTCTAGTCATTTTACATCACCGCTTCTTTTCAACATGCACCCTATTTGAAAATACTCGATCTGTTTTCAGAAATAGAGGCTAAACTTTTCTCAGTATCGTAAGAGAAAGACGTTCAACCGAATGTACGAACGCATTTCTGTGAGTACAATTTTGTAGGAAAATCTTCTGCAAAATGCTTCAATTTTATAATAAATATGTGCATAATATATACAAAATTTAAGAACGGATTTTATAATTATATATATATATATATATAAACCCTAAAGGGGAGCTAGGATAGATGGGCTACTAGTCTCAAAACGGTATTTTACAGCGGATTCTATAAACGGCGAATCAACTTTTAAATTGTTTCCACCAAATATTATCGTTCTGTATTATATTTAAAGAAATTAAATAATTAAGAATCTTCATGAATATATGTCTTGCATTATTAAAAATACAGTACCTAGAGCCATCAAATTAAGAATAACGTAATCCTCCACTCGAATATGCACATTGAAAACTGGAATTTTTAAGTTCGAATTTGTTTAATTATCTCTTTCATATTTTGTAAAACTTTGACGAATCTTTGATTAGGAAACTAACAGTTTCAAAGCGAGCAGTGGTAACACTGTAATGAATAAAATGTTTTTATCCCCAGCGTGAGAGACTGTTTATCGGAAATTCTAAATATATTTTGTTTTTAAATATTTTATGATATTGCTGTTGAATTGGAATTTATGTGCTTTAATTGCGAAGAACATGGTATTTAATAAATAAAGGTAACACACAAAGCGTCAAAAAAAGTCCTTTGGGCGTAATATAAAATCTGAAAGCTTCTGGATTTTATTTTAATGTTTTTAATTTTATAATTCCTTTTTAAAATCCAAATGAGTGTTAGTACAGAAGGGCTATTAGTTTCGAAACGGCATTTTGCGTCGAATCACTTTATATGCCCGAATCACTTTTCAAACTGTTGCCACCAAATATTATTGCCCCGTATTTATTTAAAGAAACTAAATAATGAGAATCTACATGAACGTATGTATGTTTTTCACATTGTGGATGAACAACGTTACCTAGAGTCATCACATTTTGGATCACATAGTCCTCCACGCGAACAAGGACACTTGGAAGCCTGAATTTAGAATTTGGAATATGTTTTTATTGTCTATTTCATATTCTGTAAAACGCTGACGAATTTTTGATTAAAAAACTCAACAGTTTCAAAGCGAGCAATGGCAACACTGTAAGGAATAAAACATTTTTGTCTACAGCCTGCGAGCCTGTGTATCGGAAATTCTAATGAT